CAAAACAGCAAATGTTGGGAGTACATCATCTATACTTAGATTTGTACTCAGGAGGTAGACACATGAGGAGCATGAGTTCAAATGTATCCCTGAATCATTACTAACATCTAAGCAAAACTGAAAAAGAAACAAGAAAATCTCAAGGGATTTTGAGAATTTGTGGAAATATGAAAAACAAAACCAGGAGCAACAACCCACCACCATTTCATAGACACTCTTACTTGAAAAGTATGATCACACACTGCCTGACAGTTAAAGAAACAATGAACTATTCTACACATTAGTAGAAAAATACCTATCAATAAGTAAAAACACAATAGGTTAACAAAAGTCACAGAAGAAATGTAAGGACAATATAATAAACTTCACCAAATGGATTTGTCACACATGGAGCACACTTTAGTATCTACCTCAAATGCTTCAAAATAAAAACTAAAGTGCAGTGATCTGTACCATCAGTCTTCAGTGAGCACAGAAAGTAATTTCTTTCCATCAAGGATATGATGAAAAATAAATAAAACATTACTTCTTTTTGCAGCTGAAGACAACTGTGATCTCTAAATTCTTTAAAAGAAATCATTTTGAGGAATAGAATTTTTTTTCTGTGTGAGTTTATTCCTATTTCTTGACTTTGAATTGAAACAAATAGACTGTGAAATATTTAGAGCACTAGAAACATGGCTGGGCAGTAAATAAATGTTCACTCCCAGGACCAAGGTCTGATTTTTCACAACCTCCTGTAATTTCTGCTATAAAATCCTAGGATCTATTATTATCCGAAACCAGCATGCACATTCACATACCCAGACAAAAACAGACTGATACCACATAATCCCAATTAAAGCAACTCTTTAAACATTTTCACTCATGAAAGTTTTTCTCTTGTAAGAATTCATTCCTATAATTCAGGTGTTAAGGCACCTAATGACTTACAGAGCTTTTCGTCATTATGAAGCAATCACGTTGGCTTGAAGTCTGAGAAATCAAGCCTAAGTTGATGGAATCATTTGGGAAGACTTATGAAATGCTGTCCTGCTGGAGGAAATAAGTCACTGGGAGTAGGCTTTTCTAGTTTATACTCTCTGCTTTGTTGGTACCCAGACTTTTCCCGGCGGTTGGGGCGCTATGCAGGGCTGTATCTCCTACCAGCCTAGCTTCCTGCCTTCTCCTCTGCTAGCTGCACCGGCTTGGGGAGGTAGCTTAGAGAGCTTTATCCTCTTTTGATATGGTAATTCCACCTGCAAGCAAAGGTTCCCTCAGCGGTGCCTGCTCCATCTGACACTGCCACCAGTTCTATACCCCCTGCTTGGCTGCGCCGCCATTTGGTGCCAAGCGGTCAACACTTGATCTCACTCCCAGGTGGGAGGGGGCTCTTGTCCTTTTGCCCCCAAGTATATATACCCGACATATGCTAAATAAAGTCGACATTAACCCTTTGGGCAAATGATCCTGGTCTCTGTGTGTGTCTGTTTAACTCCTAGGATGTTGATCCAGACTCGCGGTTCTATACGGAAAGCGTGCCCCGTATCGGAGAGTAGGGTTTCACAGATTCGGGCACCCACACTGCTTTATGCTGTAAGTTAAGGATTTGAGTTTTTAGCTTTCTGTTTTAGCAGTCATGTTAGACACTTGTAGCCATGACTTTTTTTGAGAAAGTGTTTCTCTGTAGCTTTGAAGTCTGCACTAGGACTAGCTCTTATAGAACAGGCTGGCCTCAAACTTACAGAGACCCACCTGCCTCTGCCTCCTGAGTGTGGGATTAAGAGTATGCATCACCACTGCCCAGCTGTGGTGTCACTCACTTTCATGGTGATCCTGTATCCCTCTGGAACCAAACACCAAATTAATTTTTATAAGTTAACCTAGATATTATATCACAATACAAAAGGAACTAACATAAATCAATAAAGTTTTACACCTGAATCAGTGATTCCATTTAATTGAAGAGAAATATAAAATCTAAAAGGGTTACATTACTGTTTCAATTCATAGAGCAAGTGTTACACTGCAGGAGGGAAAGTTATCCTGTCAGAAGTCAGGCTATACCTACAACTATGAAATGAAGGTAGTCTGAAAATCAATAGCTGTGTGGAAAAAGATATTCTGATTTGATGTGGAATTCCCCTTTCTCTGTTTTAATTACCATTAATGCATTAAAAGAAACTGCCTTGGCCTGCTGATAGGGCAGAACTTAAGCAGGCAGGGAAAACTGAACTGAATGTTAGGAGGAAGAATGACAGAGAAAGAGAGATGCCATGGAGCTGCCAGAGACATATGCTGGGATTTTTTAACCCAGAAAGTCACAGCTCATGGCCATACACAGATTAATAGAAATGAGTTAAATTAATATGTGAGAGTTAGTCAATAAGAAGCCAGAGCTAATGGGTCAAGCAGTGATATAATTAATACAGTAATTGTGTGGTTATTTTAGATCTAAGCAAGCTGGGTAGCTGGGAACCAAACAAGTGACCTCCCTACAACACTGATTGTCAGAAGTCAGGTTATACCTACAATTCGGAAGGGAAGGTATCCTGTGATGTCAGGTTCCCCTCTGTATGCTGTGAACATGTTTTATTGCCATTGGTTAAGAAAGTAGTTGCTTTGGCCTACAACAGAGCAGAATATAGTCAGGCTGGAAGAGAGAGAGAGAGAGAGAGAGAGAGAGAGAGAGAGAGAGAGAGAGAGTAGGTGGAGGAAAAGAGATGCAACTAAGTTGTTGGAGAAAGATGCCAGAACAGAACCTTACTGATAACCCACCAACCTTGTGATGAGATTAACAGAAATTGGTTAATTTAAGATGTAAGAATTAGTTAATAAGAATCTTGAGCTAACAGGCTAAACAGTATTATAATGAATATATTTTCTGTGTGACTATTGGGGTCTAGTAGGCTATAGAAACTGGTGAGCAGTCGCCAACTAAAATCCTGGATATATGCAGCGGACAAGAAAGCTATCCTGTTATTAAGTCAGGCTATCCCTGAAACTGTGGAGAAAAGGTATCCTGAATACTTATAGCTCTGAAGAGAAAGGTACCCTTACTGTTGTCAGGACATACTTACAGCTGTGAAGGGAAAGTATACTGGATACCTACAGCTATAAGGAGAAAGGAATCCTGACTGTTGAGAAGTCTGGCTATAAATGAAGCTGTGGATACGTAGAGCTCTTAAGAAAAAGGTACCCTGACTGTTAGAAGTCAGGCCATACCTACCTTTGGGAAGGGAAAGTGTACTGGATACCTACAACTATGAGATGAAAAGGTATCCTTGTGGAGGCCAAAAACCATGAGCCTATTTCCACCTTATCTGAAGGTCAGAGTTTGAGGTTGCTCAAACTTGTTAACAGGTGTGGCTACACACCCTGACCTAAGGTCTGGCTGTTTTGTGTTTTGGACTTTAAGAGAGCCAATACAGGTAAATCCATTCACCCTTGAGCAAAGGTGAAAGAATTCAAACTTACTTCTGCTACTTCTTTTGAATTAAGAGGTTTGACTTAGGGAATGACTGCCTTTAGGATTCTTGGTCTAGGGAGGGTTCACTGCCTGAATAACAGAATGTTTTTCTCAATAATTAAGGATTTGGTGGCTCAAAGTATTGAAGCAAGTAACTGTTCCAGTTGTCTTTTACATTATTTTAAAGCAGTCTTTTGTCTTCTTCCCCTGTTGTATTGGGATATAAAAGTATATGAAAAATGGGCTAGAGAGATGACTCAGTGATTAAAAGCATTGCCTGCTCATCTAAAGGTCCTGAGTTCAATTCCCAGCAACCACATGGTGCCTTACAACCATCTGTAATGAGATCTGGCACCTTTTCCTGGCCTGCAGGCATGCATGAAGGCAGAATACTGTATACACAAGAAATAAATCTTTAAAAAAACTATATGAAAAATTAAATGCAGGCATATTTATGGTATTCATGGTAACTCCCTCCTGGTACTATCCTATGCTACTTTTATTATTTTCACTTGTGTCTTCATTCTCTTTACTTATGTTCTAATTCCCATATCCCTACGCCAGTACGTGGTATACTTGTCAAAGATGGTCCTTGATATACTGACCATTGGGAAGTCCGGCTATACCCAAGGTGTGTTCCAGTGTGAGATGTTCTCCCAAAGGGATGTAGCAATGCTGCTCCTCTTCATAAGAGAGCCTTCACAGCTGGGCCCTGCTTCACTCTGCTAAGGGAGTTTCCTAACAGAGGTGTCCAATGCTTCTCTGTTACACCAAACTAGGGGGTTTCCTAAAAGAGATGTCAATATTTTTTCTCAGCTTCAGTCCAATTTGTTACTTCTCTGATTCACTGGAGTTGATGGGAAGCTGTTGCAGAAATATTGCAGTCTCTGGTGAAGAGTCGCTACTTCTACTCTGCTCCTTTAAGGGGGTTTCCCAGCAGAGGTAACCAAAGCTTCTCTATTACAATCAACTACAGAGTTTCTGATCACTCCAGTGAAAGGTCTTCATTCAAAACTCATTCAAGGCACTTATTTGGAAGGGAAGAATCCAGGAGGACTGCCTCTGCCAGAGCAGAAATAGGCAGATGCCAACTGAACATGTACTGAACTTATATAGGACTTCTTAGGGGCAGAGTTTTCCCAGGGAGAAAATTCTCAGGGTGGGAACTGGTTAGATGTTAATCCCTGATCTTGAACAATTCAGAGATTGGCTGGATTTCATGCCCAGGTGTTGGTAGATCTGGAGCTTAGAGATTAGCTGGTTTTATGCTCAGGTGGTCAAGGGTAGAGTGTGTTTCTTTGGCTCTTGTTTCAGGGCCAAAATGTGCTATTTCATTGGCCCCTTATAACCTCTAGAGTCCAGTTTCAGATTCAGGTGTTTCTTTTATTGGCTCTGGATTCAGGAACAAAGTGTGTTTCTTTGTCTTGGTTTTAGAGTCAGAATGTATTTCTTTAGCTGGCCCATTTGCCCTACACATAGGGCTTCATAAATTCATTTAACCATGAGTCTATAAGTACAAGCAGTATAAAAAAGACATCATAATGCTTGAAAAGATTGTTAACACTGTCAAATTTATTTCTACAGAAGAAATAGTCTTGTCTTGTAGGCAAAAGATTCTTGTTCATCGCTGGTTGCCCAGACTCGAAAAAAAAATCACACAGAAACTATATTAATTAACACTGCTTGGCCTATTAGCTCAGGATTCTTGTTATTGCTGCATTCCTATTATTTCATATTTTATCACAAGACTTGTGGTTTATCAGTAAGGTTCCAGGGCATCTGTCTTTTTCAGCAGATACATGGAATCTGACTCCACTTTCTTTTCTCCACTATCTCTGCTTGAAATTCCTGCCATGCTCTATTCTGCCCTGCCATAGGCCCAAAGCAGCTTCTTTATTAAACAATGGTAACAAAATACATGCACAGCATACAGAAGGGAAACCTTTCACGTCTAATGTAATATACAAAGATTTTAACAGATTGTTGCACACAAAAAGTTTTACTCCTGTATAAAGTACAAAACTTTATCACACTGAATACATTCATAGGGTTTCTCTGCAGTATGATTTTTTCTCATGATTTAGATTATTCATACATGCAAATGCTTTACCACACTGATAACATTCATAGAGTTTATCTCCTGTGTGTCATCTTTTATATATTTGAAGAGTACAGTGAAGTGCAAAGGCTTTATCACACTCAATACATTCATAGGGTTTCTTCCCACCATGTGTTAGTTCATGTCTTTAAAGATGACTATGACAAACAAAGCCTTTAGCACACTAATCACATACATAATATTTCTCTCAAGTATGGGTTTTTTTATGTTTTCAGAGATTACTATATATGCAAAGGCTTTTCTGCATTGATTATATCCATAGGGCTTCTCTCCAGTATGTGTTCTTTCATGTGTTTGGAGACTACTGTGACATACAGAGGCTTTGCCACACCTATTACATTAATAGGGTTTTAACTCCAGTATGGGTTCTTTCATGACTTTGTAGATGAATGTGCTGTGCAAAGGCTTCACCACACTGATTACATTCAAAAGGTTTCTCTCCAGTATGGGTTGTTTTATGCTTTCGGAGACTACTGTGATATGCAAAAGCTTTACCACACTGAGTACATTCATAGGGTTTCTCTCCAGTATGGATTCTTTTATGTCTTTGGAGACTACTTTGATCTGCAAAGGCTTTACCACACTGATTACATTCATAGGGTTTCTCCCCAATATGGCTTCTTTCATGACTTTGTAGATGACAGTGCTGTGCAAAGGCTTTACCACACTGTTTACATTCATAGGGTTTCTCCCCAGTATGGGTTCTTTTATGTTTTTGGAAACTACTGGGATATGCAAAGGCTTTACCACACTGACTACATTCATAGGGTTTCTCTCCAGTATGCATTCTTTCATGACTTTGAAGATGACCGTGCCGTGAAAAGGCTTTACCACACTGATTACATTTATAGGGTTTCTCTCCAGTATGGGTTTTTTCATGTGTTTGGAGACTACTGTGAAATACAAAGGCTTTGCCACACTGATTACATTCATAGGGTTTCTCTCCAGTATGCATTCTTTCATGCATTCGGAGATAACTGTTACACACAAAGGCTTTACCACACTGATTACATTGATAGGGTTTCTCTCCAGTATGGGTTCTTTCATGACTTTGTAGATGAATGTTCTGTGCAAAGGCTTTACCACACTGATTACATTCATAGGGTTTCTCTCCAGTATGGGTTCTTTTATGCTTTTGGAGAGTACTGGGACATGCAAAGGCTTTATCACACTGATTACATTCATAGGGTTTCTCTCCAGTATGGGTTCTTTCATGAGTTTCAAGATGGCCATGCCGTGCGAAGGCTTTACCACACTGATTACATTCATAGGGTTTCTCTCCAGTATGGGTTCGTTCATGATTTTGAAGGTAAATGTGCCGTGCGAAGGCTTTACCACACTGATTACATTCATAGGGTTTCTCTCCAGTATGGGTTCTTTCATGCATTTGGAGATTACTCTGACAAACAAAGGCTTTATCACACTGATTACATTCATAGGGCTTATCTCCAGTATGTATTCTTTTATGTTTTTGAAGAATACTGGGAAATGCAAAGGCTTTACCACACTGATTACATTCATGGGGCTTCTCTCCAGTATGTGCTCTTTTATGCATTTGAAAAGTACTGGGAAGTGCAAAAGCTTTACCACACTGATTACATTCATACGGCTTCATTCCAGTGTGTGTTCTTTTATGTATTTGAAGAGTACGGTGACGTGCAAAGGTTTTACAACATTGATTACATTCATAGGGTTTCTCTCCACTGTAAGATCTTTTATGCATTTGATGATGACTGTGATTTGCAAAAGCTTTACCACACTCATTTTCTTCATAGGGTTTCAATCTAGTATATGTTTTTTCATGCCTGTGAAGATGACATGCAAAGGCTTTAACACATTGAGTATATGCAGAAGTTTTCTCTCTAGTTTGACTTTTTTTCGTGCCTACAATGATAATGGTACATGTGAAAACATTACTACATTTAATACATTCTTGAATATTTTTATCTGTATTAATTAATTTTACAATTTAGTCCTACTTTAAAGAAGAATTATATGTTAAGGTTTTATCACCATATTTACATTCTTGTTTTTCCCCTTCATTAAGGCTTGCTTTACATCTTTGAGGATAACTGATAACAGCCGTTATTACATGGTTCACATTTACAGAATCTTTTTTTCTGTATGAGAATTTTCATGTATTTGAAGAGAACTGAGAAAACTCAGAGCTTTACCACTCTTATTGCATTTATCACATTTCCTATACTGTGAGTGATACTACATTTGCTAAGTGAACTAGAACAGAAGCTTTTACACAGTCCTAGTACTAATGTTGCTTTTCTGAAATGTGAGCTGAGATGTTGATATATTAACAATGAGACTAGAAAACCAATTACTTGTATACTTGTACATCAAATTCAACATGTATACTCAACATGGGGACTGCTACATATCTTCTATTTGTTCTGAGAGAGAGGTATATTATATTTCTTCACATCCCTATGCTCATGTGGCTTGTATCCAGAGTAACATATGAGATACTTAGTAAAGGAAGAATAACAAATATAAGGCTTCTACATTGAATTCACAGTTTGACTTTCTGTCCTCATAGACTTGTGGTATATGGATTAAGGACTCTCCACAACAGCTGCCCCTCGATTTGTGACTCTAACTACCCTCTCACTAAACTTTGCACAGTCACAAGTATATGTGTTAAACTACCCTTTCTATGTACTATTAGTATAATACAGAAATTTACAGATATACGTATCAATATTTCAATATGAATATCTTTCATAATATGAAATAAATGCATTGACAATTTTACAGTATGGCTCTCATTGTCTTACAATTCAAATGGCAATACAGGTTAAGACCTTTCCTTGTCTCGGGATGGAGGGATGGCTCGGAGGTTAAGAGTACTGACTGATCTTCCAGAGGTCCTGAGTTCAATTCCCAGCAACCACATGGTGGCTCACAACCACCTGTGCCCTCTTCTGGCCTGCAGACACATATGCATACAGGACACTGTATACATAATAAATAAATAAATCTTTAAAAAAAAAGACTTTTCCTTGACTTCTTTCTTAAAAGAATGACTTGCAAATGCAGTTCACCTATCTGAAATTAAGGAACATGATTTTGTGAGAATTTAATAATCATCAATGCAGTATATTATTTACATTGTTGCTTTGGTTTAAAACATATAGGATACATTATAAATTCTTCAGAGGTACATTTGTATCAGCTTATATATGAAAATTACCTTTCATGTCTTCTAGAACTTTGACAAAGTTCTTCAATATTATGGTCTTCCCAAATGTATCCTAAAACATAATGCCAGAAAAATATATGTTATATATTAAAAATTGTAAAAAATTATGGACCATTTGAAGCAAACCTTAAAACCATGCCTGATTTCTTTACCCATTCTTCTTTCTCAATCATATTACAAAAGAGCATCATTATCCAATGAACAGTTGTCCCCTAATTTAAAACATAAAAGATGATTCAGTCTTACCTATAGTAGTGAGGTTTCTGTAGGTCTCCACCATCACATCTTTGTAGAGACTCTTCTGGGAAGGATTCAGCAAAGTCCATTCTTCCCAAGTGAAGTCGACATGCACGTCATCATAGGTCACTGCATTCTAAAATATCCCATACATGTGTACAACAGAATGCATGAATTGACAACACTATAAATATATACTTCTTTGATAGTATAGTCATATAGTTCTGGTGCTCCCCATACTTATTCCATGACATAGACATCATAATTTAATCACCAACTCACTTTAGAAGCAAACTGAATACAAAGTTCACCTCTGTCATTTCTGAATCCATTGAATGGGATTATCACCTTGCAATAGAAATGCCTACTAACCAACAATGAAAGATATGTAAACAGATCAACAGAACAGAGTACAGATAAGAGAAATTGTATGAATGATTAATTTCTAACTACAAAAAAGAATAATAAGACGAAAAAGCTGCATGCATTGAATCATGCCTCTAATCCTTGTACTCAGAAGGCAGAGGCATATATATATATATATATATATATATATATATATATATATATATCCCTGTGAGTTGAATCCCAGCCTAATCAATGCAATCCCTTCTAGGGCAGCCAGAAATACATGTTAATTACATGTTTCACATGAAAAAAAAATCAATCAAACATGAAAGTCAGAAATAACTCATAGGTTTTTGCTGAAGTTTCCACAAACAGTTATGTATTCACTTCAACTCTTTATTCATTTACCAGAAACCTGAAGTGCCCCAATTTAAACTGCAACATAAATAAGATTTTACTAAAGGCACTGGATGTTTAAAAAGTTACAAATGGACAAATAAAAATAATGGCAATTAAAATGCTGATTACAAATAATCAACACAGAGCAGGAAAGATGGCTCAACAGTAAAGAGACCTCCTGGTCTTGCATACAGGTTGACTCAATGGCTTACATGGGGGATCATAACTATCCAGTATTCCAAATTCAAGGTTTCTAGTACCATCTTTGATCAATGTAAGGACCAGGTACTCACATGGTGCATATCCATGCATACAGGTAAAGTACTCTTTTTAAAATAAAAATTCAAAACAAACAAAACAGGCAGGAAGAAGGTTATGTACCTGCAATTCAAGGACTCAGAAGGCACAGGCAGTATTAATGTAATGAATACATGCCATCCTGGGAAACAGAATGATGCCCTCTGTCAAATTTTGAAGTTCAAGATATGGGTGAAGCTCACTACAACAGCATATGCTTGATAGGAACAATATAAAAACAAAAAGGAAAGGAATGCTGGCCCACCTTTAATCACAGCACTTGGGAGTCAGGGTCAGAGGCTCCCTGATTTTGAAGTCAGCCTGGTATATAGAACTACTTTCAGGACACCAAGAGCTAGAGAAAAACATTGTCTTCAAAATAAACAAACAAAAATGCTACATCCACGGCTGTCTCACCAGTGTAGCAGAAATGCTGACTGGATGGGCAAATATTGCCGGAAGGATCAGGATCCGCGCTTCTCGGAGTTGAGTCCTGGGCTGTCCCTTGGCAATCAGTTCTGGTGTAATGCTACCTGAGTTGCCATTTGTACTGACTCGACCTGACTGTACTTGGTGCTATATGTCTGTCTTTTCCCTTGTCTGTGTATTCTTTGTGATCCTTGCATATTGCCAACAGATCAGACTATTCCAGGCAGTTGCGGATACAAACAAGACTGCTGAGGACATTTTTGAGTTTTGACCCCTATTCATTAAAGCCTTTAAAGAAATAGCCAGTTCTGGAAATAGGGAAGCCATTGTTAAAATAATTCCTTAATGATGTGGAGCAAAAGGAGTTGCTCTTATCAGGAGAAACCTTAGAAGGCTTCTGCAGGAAAACAGCTGCAGCAACACTGGATGTTTGCCTGAGAATTACACGCAGGAGGCCTATGCAGCCTTCATTATGGCCAGAACAAACCTAGGCTAATTACAACATCTGACCCTGAGAGTCGGGGAGGGAAGAAAGTTGAGATTTATGGTATAAAACTAAACTAGATTCAGACAAGTTGGAGATCACATCTTTTAAATTTCCTAGCAGAAAGTTTTCCCAGGAATATAGTGGCCTTCTCCTCTCACACCCCAAGATATTCTGAGCGCAAGATCACTTAGCCCAGCCAGCCACCTGGTACAGACTGGGCGAAAGTCCTTGTGCCCAAGTCAAAGCATTTTCAAGGATTCTTTTTGTAAACTATGCTATTTTTTTATGATCTGATGATGTATACCTTTGCCAAGTTCTTTGTTTGTAATAATATAAAAACTTCACACTGAATAAGTAAAACACAGCAGCATTTTCAAAAATACATTGAGATGGTCTGTCTGTCAATTCCTCTGCTGTATCCTGAAATTTTCCATCCTTCGCCCTGATTCCCTCGCGGTCTGAATGGCTCCCCTGAGCCGGTCCGTAGCACAAAAATACATAGAGTAGGCTACCAAACCAACTGAGCACCAAACAGCAGTTAATTCTACTAAGTCTCATTTGAGTTAGTGATAGTTTATGATGGTGGGGAAGTTATGACAGCAAAAGAAAAGCTGACTGATTAGTTTCAACCACAACACAGTAGGCACAAAGAACAGGAAATGGGTTGAGGCTAAAGAAACTCATATTGTGGGATTCCCTTCTGGATGCTGAGATTATCATTGGTTAATAAAGAAACTGCTTTGGGCCTACAGCAGAGCTACAGGACAACTCTTATGTGGGTTGGGAAAACTAAACTGAATGCTGGGGGGAAGAACACAGAGTCAGAGAGAAGTCATGTAGCCCTGTCGGAGACAGACATTGAGAACTTTACCTCATAAGCCACAGCCACATGGCAATACACAGATTAATAGAAATTGGTTAAATTAATATGTAAGAGTTAGCCAATAAGAATCTAGAGCTAATGGGTTAAGCAGTAATTTAATTAATATAATTTATGCATGATTATATTCAGGATGAGCAGCTGGGAACTAACAAGCAACTTCCCACACCAAACTGGTGCCTACATGGCCAACTAAAATCCACTTAAAATCTTAGAGAGCTAAGAAAGGAATTCTAGATACTAAAAAATGAAGTTTAGCCACATTTCTTTCCCCAAATGGGCTTTGCTTACTGGTGACAAACTTTGGCACCTTTAAGAGAGGTTTTCCTGATTTAGAGGTAGCAGAAAAAAGGCTGCACCATTTTGAAATGTCAGCTTTCTGGGCTGTGCTGTCAGCACGAACTCTAACTCTTTCTGGAGGACAAGTTATGGGGTCTGTGAGAATGCTAATGGCAACTTAGACCCTGTGAATGCCTGAAAATGGGGCAATGTACATGGCTCTCAGAGGTAGCAAATGTGCCTCTGCCATGTTGGACAGTGTGGAGCAAGCAGGCAGGTCATATTTGTTCTACCAATGGTACAGCTTAAGTTCATAAGAAGTGCTTAGCATTTTAAGAAGTGCTCCAGAACAGAAAAGAATTACAGATACACAATAGGACAGATTCATACATAAAAGAACTCTAAATGAGACTCAGTGTGTTTTAAAAAATGTACATAGAACTGGGAGAGAAAAGAAAAATAATATAGAGAGTTATAAAAAGAAGTAAATGGTTTATAAAAAATGAAATGAAGTCTTTAAAGAGACAGAGTACAGACAGACATAAATTAAAAGAGTAAAGAAAATAACATAAAAAGTAAAAAGTAATAGAATAAAAACAAATAAGCCATGTAAAAATGGACTATATACAGAGGGTCTGGATTATGTATATTATTGTGTTTTCTTTGAACTTTTTGACTGTAAAGGAGCTAAGAAACCAACATATATAATTTAAAGGTATACTATCTTTAGAATTTCGGTCTAAGAATTTGTTGTTTTGAAAAAGAGGTTCTTCTTTTGTTTCCACAGAGAATGAGAACCTGTGGATTCCTTCCAGACTAATGTGGCTTGATGAATCAAGACCACCCAATAGATCACTGTGAATGTCCCCAAAAATTACTTCACCTAATAAAAAGCAAGAAGCAGTTTGGAGAGACCTATACCCGTATTCCCAAATACTGTTCATAAATGTTTGTTTACATTTAAAAGGGGATATGCTATAGAGATTTGCATTAGTATGGATCTTGGTTTATTGATACAAATTTAAGGTCAATTGTATTATATGTATTTCTTCACTTGATCAAGTTATAGTATTTGTGCAGCTCATTTAAAAATGTGATGTTTAATTAAATTATAGGTAAATAGAGAGTCATCTATAATAGTAATAGTCAAGTTTGTACTCATGTTAGTTAGATTTTCTAGCTGTACAGAGTTGTATTTCAGATAGATAGGGATTCTTCAAATATTTCAGAGTTTCAGAATATGGCATTTAAAATATTTTAAGAGCTTAAGACTTTTCATGACAACAAAACACAGCTGCTCCTGATGGCACCAATCTACTTTGAGAGGATGATGGATATCAAAGAGGCTCCATATGAAGTTTGTTAGCCATTTGGGCAAGAAACTGCTCTTGCTTGGACTGCTTAATGTACTGGACATGCAGGACCCACGGGAGAAATGACTGCTGAACTTGCCTAAATGTGAGATGATTCTTCGGGGTTCCTAATTCATGAAAGAGTCTGTCAGACATTTTGCAGGACACAGAAGACAGCAACTGATGGGCATTTTCATTGCAAGGCAGAACAGGTGTTCAAATTTCCTCCTTAATGGAAAAGTCTGTCAGATAATATGGGCCTGTGGGCTGAGGACTGGATGCCCCAACAATATAGAAGAACTTGGGTGACTGTCTGGTCAATGAGATGTCTCTGTCATTTCCAGAGTTTTGGAAGTTGCCTAGAATATACTTCCTAATAACTTAGGTAATAGTATATCCTTCTGGAGTCTTTGGTGAAGTTGAAGAATTTTGTAGTTATACTTTTCTTTAGTTATGATAAAAGATAAAGTAGATATAAATATTGTACTGTAATTCTTGTATGATACCTGTTTTGTTATATGTAATTTTACTATGTCAAAATTGAAACCTTCCTTTCCATTTAAAAAGAAAAGGGAAGGTGATTTGGGATTCCCCTCTGTATGCTGTGATTATCATTGTTTAATAAACAAACTGCTTTGGGCCTATAGCATAGCTATAGGGCAGAA